CAGATACACAAAGCACCGCATGTGGACACACACACACAGCCGAGCACACACGGGCAGGACACGCATGCCTCCCTGTGCGTTCAGGAACCAGGTGGGGGGCAGGCTCTGCAGCCCCAGAGTGACCCCCCGGGGGAGCCACAGACAAGGCCCAGGTCTCAGTGCGCCTGCTGGACCGGGCGGCCCCTTTAGTGGAGGTGAGATTCTTCCCCAAATGGCTTTTTCAGGCCCATCAAATATCCCTGGTTCAGCAGAACGCCTAATCCCTCAGAGGCTGCCTGGGGCCCCCTTCCACGAGCCGAGATAACAGCTTTCTGGCACCATAAAAGCCGGGACGCAGGAAAGGAAGGAAGGCACCGCCTGCAACGACTTCTTCCCACCGTGTAAACATGGTGCTGCACTCAAAAGCCCTCTGCAAGGAGCCCACCCTCACCCCTCCTGGGCTCTCGGCAGTCAGCTTGCGCTCAGCGCCCTGGGCCAGCGCCAGTAGCGCCCACATTCCACTGGCAGCAGCGCCATCTGGTGTCCCTTAGCTCAGTTTTGTGCCCACCTGGCTCCAGGGGCGACAAACACCTCCGATTAGTAAGTCCACTTCCCACACCTGGTCTCCCTCTGCCTGGCGTCTGCACCCACCCAACCCCTGCAGACCAATGCCTCCCCAGGAAGCCCCCCTGACACCCCGGGGCCCTGAGCTTGCCTGGCCACCGCCCAGCACCTGCTTCTCTCCTGCTTTCCCTTCCTCTCTCAGGGAGTCATCCCTTCCAGGTAGCCCTCAGCATCCTGCACACGCATCCCACCCCAGGCCCACTCCACCTCGCACCTCTTTCCTGGCCTACCACAGGCATAACTCATGCCCCTGGGGGCCGGGCCCTTGGCAGCTTTGCCTGGGCTGTGTCCCCAACAGCCCCATCCCTCGTAGCCGTGATGCTCCAGCAGCACCAGATAGTCGGCTCCAGCCACTGCAGAGGCTGCCTCCACATGGCCAACGAGTCGGGACGTCCTTGGAAACCTTGCAAGGCCACTGGAAGGGTAAGTCTGAGGCCATCCTGCCCACCCCCTCCATCTTACAGTGGGGTAAACAGAGGCCCAGGACACACAGCAATTCGGAGTGTCTGATGGGGGCAGCTCTGGGCCCACAGGCTCAAGGGAGGGATGTCCAACCCCCGGAGGCACTTAGCTGGGCAGGTGGGATGAGCACAGCCACTGGGCCCCTGCCCTTAGGGATGTGCCACCGAGGAGATGACTCCGTGGACCCACTCATGGAGCCCCTACACACCCAGACTGTTGGGAAAGAGCAGGGTCTTATGGGAGGGAGAGATGGGGACCCTGAAGACGACAGGTCGGGAAGGGTGCATGAAGTAGTGTCAGCCAAGCGAAGGCCTTAAAGTGTGCAAGAAGCCAGTCCTGTAACATGCCAGAGAAACAGGCGGCCAGCAGAGCATGTGCAAAGGCCCAAAGGCAGCAGGGAACATCCAAGGGTCAGCAGACAGCAGAGGGAGCAAGCAGGGTGGAGGGAGGGGAGGACAGAAGCAGGAGGGGGCCTGAAGGTGGGGCACCTAGGGGCGGGGGACAGTTGCAGCTATCCTAAATGCCATAGGGAGCTTCTGGAATGATCAGATTTTCATATTAGAAAGTCCCCCCTACCCAATGGCTGGTGTGTGGAGGGGGTGCCTAGTGGGACACAGGGGTGGCAGGGGGAGGAGGCTGGTATGATTTCACGGTGCGCAAGGGCGCCCACATGGGGTCTCTGCACTCGGAGAAGTGGAGAGGTGGGGCCACAGTGGGAGTGGCTCTCCACCTGGGGCAGGGAAGCTGCTCACTGGTGCCCCCATCCCAGGTCTGCAGCCCTCTCCCGGCCCAGCCCATGCGGAGCCCCATCCTCAGCTGGAGGATCTGTGCCCGCAGTTCAGAGAATGGCCACCAGGTGGCAGGTGGGCCCCAGAGATGACTGGACTTCGGGCAGGCAGCGGGCAGGGGGCTGCCTGGATGGCGCAGGAGCCCTTGGCCAGCTCCCCTGGTGCCGGGGTGCACTGCCCCACAGAAGCTTCAACAGTGAGCTCTCCCTGAATGTGAGAAACACCGACTGGGGCCAGGGGGCCTCCTGGCCGGTCCAAGAGGACTGGGGGCCAGACCAGATGAGGCCCAAGGGTCTGCCGCCCACCCCAGGGCTGTCGTGGGAGTAACCCCTCCACTGGTCTGGTTTCCTCCTCCACACAAGGTCTGGGATTCCACTGGCATACTGCATGGATGCCTGGGCCAGGGTTCATGCCCAAAGCAGCTCAGGGTGCGTCCATGGGGACCCCCACCCTTCTCTGCTCTCCCCCTTCCCGCCTCTCCCCTGCAGCCTGGCAGGTGGAAAGGAAGTCCTTGCAGGCTTCACGGGCTCCATCCCACCCTCCCAGCGGCACCCAGAGGCCCTGCCTGAGCTGTGCAAACCTGGTGACCCAGGACCCTGGGTGAGTGGCTGGATGCTGGGCCTGGGGGGTGGGGGAACTGGGTGTGCCGACATCAGCCTGGGACTCAAGGCCATCACGGCCACATCAAACCTGGGTGGACCTGCTGGCAGAAGGGGGCCAATCACCAGCAGGCCTTATAGGCTGAGCTGTGTCCCCCAAAGTCGTGGTGGAGTCCTGACCCTGGCACCCCAAAAGGTGATTTGTTTGGAGGTGGCATCTGTACAGAGGGGATTAAGGTAAACGAAGTCACAGGGTGTCCCTGACCCAGTGTGACTGGCGTCCTCATAAGAAGAGGAGATCAGGACACACACACGTGCAAAGGGACGGCCACGTGAGGATCCGGGGAGAGGGCGGTGTCCACACGCCCAGGAGAGGCTCGGGGAGTCGGCCCTGCCCGCCCTCGGGTCTCGGCCTCCAGCCCCAGGCCTGGGAGAGGACACATCCGTGGTTTAAGGCCCGTCTGTGGTGCTCGGCTATGGCTGCCCCAGGACACCTACACACGGGCTCCAGGCCCCACAGGAAGGAGTTGGAGGTAAACCTCGGAACCCGGGCAGCAGTCTCCTGCCCCTGCCAGTCACAGCCTCCCGAAGCTTTGGCTTCCAGCCCCATGAGGAGCTGCAGCACCGTGGCCACCAGGAGAGGCAGGGACCCAAGGAGCGGCCCTCGGAGGTGACGTGCCTCGTAGGGCCCAGGCTGGGGCTCAGACGTCCCTGTGCTCACCCCAAGCACCAGGTGGCCGGCTGTGCCTGATCATCCCCCACCTACTGCCCCCCCCTGCGGTCTGGCAGGTGGGGAGAACCGCCCCCCAATATTCCAGGACAGACAGAAGCGTGGCTCCTGCCCACTCCCCTGCGGGGAGACGGGCTGCCCGGTCTGCCACGGGGCCCCCAGAGCAGGGGTTTGGAACGTATCTCTCTCGGCCGGTGGCAGGTGACGCAGCACCTGAGTGCAGGAGCGGCCAACCTTCTGCAGGGAGCTGCGGCTCCCAGGGCCTTTGCATGGGCTGAGCTGGGGCCCTTAGCTGCTCCCGAGGGTCCCCAGAACCAGAGGAGTGGGGAGGAGGCAGAGTGCTCCGTGACCCCAAAAGCCTGTCACTCTCACTGGGATGATGTCCACCCTACTTTTGCCATTAAGCATGTCCCTACTTTCATATGGGGAAGCATAGCCTAACAGGTCAATAAGAACAATAATACGAGGGCCCGGGGACCATCCCAGGGGCTGGTGACTCAGCGTTCAGACACCCCCTGGCAAGGATCACCTCCACATGGGATGCGGGCAAGTCCCTGGCAACTGGCAAAGTCCATGTCGAAGTCACGCCCTTACACGGACTGAAAGACACCTCCCATCCCTGCGAAAATACACACCCCTTTGCCCCGAGGCTGGCCAGTTCCTTCAGGGGATGCACAGTGCACGTACTTCCAGTAAGGCCAGAGGGCCGCACCGAACAGCACCCTCCACCACCCCGACTGGTACCTTCGCCGGCTGCAGTCCCGTATCCAGGAATGGCTGAGGGAGCAGAGGGGACACCAAAGAAAACAATAACAAAACGTAGCCGAGTCACAGGCCTAAGTGACAAGGATCAATGGCTTTGACAGACACCTGAAGGACCCTCCAGAGGCAGTGGAAGGCCCCGGCTGCAATGGTAACTGTTGTTACAGGATAAACCTAACAACCGCCTCATACAACACAACCTACCCACAAAACCCTCCTGATAAGCAGGCAAACCACGACGGTGAGCAGGAAGACCCCCACAGCAAAGAGACGTCAGTCACCCAAATTCCTTCAGCAAATGCCATCAGACGTGTTCAGGGAGCTAGGCAGGTTGACAGTGAAGGTCACTGGGAAGAGCACAAAGGAACTGCCAGGTAAGCCCTGAAAAAGCAGAACTGTGCAGAGAAATTAAACCACATGATACAGCAGATTGTAGTGCCGTGTCATCAAAGCAGAATGGTTTCAGGAGACAGAAAAGCAGAGCCAGTGGAATAGAACAGGAGAGTCCCTAAGTGCGTCCATTTGCATCCGGACATCTGGTTTACAATAAAAATGGCACCTCAAATTGGGAAGGAAAGATACAGGGTGGTGGAAGGGGCCATCCAGGAAGTGGGGGGTTGGGGCTGGGACAGCTGCAGGGTCCCTGAACCAGCCATAACCCAGGTCAGGAGTCACCCAGACCCAAGGCCACAGTGCAGGCTTGGGCAGGCAGCTGCCCACAACCCCATCCCTTCATGCCCACAGCCTCGGATCCTTCCCTTCCGGCCCAGCTCAGAAGCCCCCTCCTCCAGGAAGCCTTCCCAGACCACCAGCTCTAGGCTCCTCTCATTCCTCAGCCCCCCCACCCGATGGTCCCACCCTGGCAAGCGAGGGAGGCAGGGTGGGAATCCCACACGCCAGTCCCCCAGTATCAGGGCGAGCCCACAGCTGTGGCCAGCATGAGGGACATTAGAGCGGACTGATGGTGCGGGCGGGAGAGGCCAGTGGCCCAGGCGCCTGGGAGAGCGGAGCCCCGGGGGGCTGTGACAGCCGCGCGGTCCCTCCGCGGCTACATACCATCCAGAAGAGGGTCCCTGTGGCCAGAGCGACATACTGCTCGATGGTGGACAGCACGCTGAAGATGAGGCAGACCAGGACGATGAGGAAGCTGCGGGCAGGAGGGCACGCGGTCAGCTCCGGGGCTCAGCTCCCGCCCACCTGTCCCCCACACACGAGCCCAGGCCCGGGGCGCAGGTGCTCACCCACACCTGCGGACCCAGCCCCTCCCTCCCCAGGTCTGAGGACTCCAAGCACCGCCAAAGCCCGCTGTCCCCGGCTGGTGAACGGGGCCTGGAGAATGGCACGTCCACACCGTGGCTGTCCTCGGCCGTAAACACCGCCGCGGGATGGACCAGAAAACGTCACACTGAGAAGCCAGTCCGTGAACGCACACAGTGTGATTCCATTTATACAAAATGTCCAGAACGGGGAGTGGGACACCCAGGGCGACAGAAAGCAGACTCGCGGTCATGGGGTCAGAGGGCCTGGAGAGCAATGGCTGGGGCAATGGGGTCTCCATCTGGGGGTGATGTGCTCTAAGATGAAGCAGTGGTGTCAGTGCACGCATCCATGGGTGTGCTGAGCCCCAGCCCCGTGGCTCCCCAGGAGCCCTCGCGGTGTGGCCCTGCCTCAGTGCAGCTGTCCCCTCACTGCTCCCGGGGCAGCCAGGGCCCAGGCAGGGCGCCCAAGGTCGCAGCATGGAAGCCAGCCTGCCAGGGAGGGAGGGCCCGCTCCTTCCCACACTGATGCAGTGTCCCCAAGCCTGGGGTTCCCCAAGGTCTCTCCCATCGCATCCCCTCCCCTGGGGCCCCGGAGCTCAGCAAAGGGGAGGTGAGGCTGCGGCCCTGGCCTGGGGCCAGCTCCCAGGCACTGTCACGATGCCCCTCAAACCAGGTCACAGAGCGGAGCTGTGACCACCCCTGGGCAGGGGATAAGGGGCCCCTGCTGCCTGAGGCAGACCCTCCAGGGCCCCGGCCAGGCCAAGACCCAGCCTTCCTCCTGCCTGGGCAGAGGGGCATCTGGGGGCTCCGCGGTCCCCAAGCACCCTCTTGGCAGGGCCTCGGGGACAGGACAGCAGGGGACCTGCCGTGTGACCCCAGCAGACACTGCTGTGGGCGGCTGCACGGCCCACCACACAGGTCCGCCACAGCCCCCTGCCCAGCCCCTGGGAGCCCTGGCTCTCTCCCCACCTGAGCCCCTGCTGCCCCCAGTGCTTTCAGCCCACCCCCAGCCCCATGTGCCCACCAGGGAGGCCCGGGCTGTCCCCTCACCAGATCAGCCCCTCCCCACCCCAGCCAACCCTCTCAGCTCATCCCCCAACCCTGCTTCCTGGGGGAGGTGGGACTCAGGCCACCGCGACAGCTCCCGTGGCAGGGGCAGCCGACCAACCTGCCCAAAGACCCTGCCCGCGCTCCCGGGCCTCTGGGTTTCCTGTGGGCACACCACCCCCCAGCAGCTCTGCCATCAGTGACACCAGGTCCCTCACACAGGCTGGACCTGCAGAGCAACCAGGCACACACCCCACCTGCCAGCCTCATCCCTCACCCTGACCACTGCACCCACCCCACACCCCAAAGTAAGGCTCCATTGGCCTTCACACTACTCCCAATATGACTCCCGGGGGACCCCAACACCGGGGCCTGCAGGGCCAGCCCCAATATGCCAGACAGGACCCAGCTCACCCCACGCCCCGGTCTGACCCTTCGTGCTCATGTACCACCACTGGGGCCTGGGCCTTCGCCCACTGCACGCTGCGCACCCCCCCTGGCCACAAGCACTTCCAGAGAAGGGCCGTGGTGTGACACTCTGCCAGGTCCCCCAGCCCTGGGTCAGGGCCCCGTGTGCAGTTGGTGCACAGCCCTGGCCCGCCGTACCCGAACTCGTCCAGTCCCTGAGCTCCTCCTTCATGCCCATGCTGGCCCCTCCTCTGCAGCCCAGTCACCACCGTCGTGTCTTAGCGGGCCACAGTCCCTCTGCCCACACCACCAGCTCTCACCGGATATGAGGCACAGTGTGACCACGCCCCGGGTCCCAGGCAGCTCCCAGCAGGACCCCCAGGGGCTGCAGCCCCGGCTCCCACCCCCCAGGGTCTCACCTCACACCACCAGCTCCCCAAACGCCAAGGCTGTGTCACGCCTCCAGCCTTGGCACACACAGCACCTCCTGCCAGGAACTCCACACATCTGCTCTCCACACGTCCTGGCTCTGTGGACCCTCCTGCCAGCTTGGAGGGGTATCCGGGCCCCAGCCTGCAGTGAAGATGTTTGACAGACGCTCCTAGGCACCCCTGCCAGACCCTGAGGGCAGCCCTCTTCAGGGCGGATGAGACACAGGCTCCTACCATCTTAAGGACACAGGCAAACACCAGTGGGGGTGTGAGTGTCTACCTGAGGTCAGGCCACCCCTCAGGCATGCAGCTCACCTTCCACCGGGAGGGCCCAGCTGACTCCGTGCCCCCTGCACCAGCCCACACTCTGCAGCCCACCCCATCCCTCAGGGACGCACTGCCTGGATCTGCCAAGAGGAGCCAGAACAGCACGCCCACTGGGCACGGGCCGTGCAGCCCTGCTCCCCAGGCACCTGAGGGCAGATGGGGCCAGGAGGCAGCTACACCAACGGCACAGTGCCACTGACCACCACCCATGGCCACATGGCACAGCGGGTCCCACTGCCTCAGTGTCCTCACCAACACCAGCCGGGACCCACGGCCACATCCCCACAGGGCCACGGGTGGCAGAGCAGAGGGGCAGCGGTGCAGCAACTCGGGGGTCGGCGTGACTTCCCTGGGACCCAGAACAAGCACCAGGCTCTCAGGCCCTGTCCTCTGAGCAGATGGGTGAAAACTGCTGCCTGTGACCAGAGAGCCAGTCACTGCCAGGGACATGCACAGCGGGGTCCCTGGACTGGAAGCTCCGTAGTGTGAGCATCTCCCTCCAACCTCTGAGGTACTGGCCCGCTGCCACCCCCTTCACCTGATGGCACTGAGGGCTGGGTAATCTGATGCCCCCATCAAATCCTTCACTTCATCACCCGCCAGAGCCCCATTGCCACGCACTCTCACAGGGGCAGGGCCATGATCCAGCCGAACGACAGTCACCCCCATGGAAAAGCTGCCTGTCTGAGGCGCCCAGCACCCTGTCCCTAAGCCTTCATGTTCCATGGGAATAAAGCAAGGCCCAGAGTGAAGGGGTCACTCTTGGGCTGGGGTCAAGACCAGAGCTTCCTGGGGCCCATGGCCTCCAGGCTGCATGGCCAGGATGGTCTGTAAGGAAGTAAATAGGATCCACTGGTGCCCCTGCCCCTCTGGGGGCCCCACAGTGGGCACCTGTTCCCACCAGGCTGCATCTCAGCTGAACAAGGCCTAAGGGGGCAGGTGCCACCATTGTAGCAAACCAGACCACATCCTGTTAGGCCCTGCACACACCAGCTGTGCTTTCCCATCTCTCTCGCCACCAGGTTGGCAATCTACTACTTATCATTGCTCTTAGTAGGACCTCCCCGGGACAGAAGGCAGTGGCCAGAGCTCACGGGACTGTATGGAGGAACACAGAGGCCCTGCGTGAGGGACGGTCTGCATCACTGTGAACCAGCTCCATGCACGCAGCCCCCAGGCTTCAAGGCTCTGATCCTGGCTGCCTAGAGGCCTTGCCTGCCCGGTGCCCGGTGCCCTGTGCCAGCTGCACTCAGGGAACAGGGAGCTCAGGGCTGGGGGCAGAGGGGCAACAGCTTAGAAGTTCTTGAGTGAGCCTTGCCCAGGAAGGGAGGACCTGGCCAGAGTGGCCCGACCTGTGGACAAGCCGTGGCCACCTCCCCGAGACATGCATCACCCCAGGCCCCTGGTCAGAGGTGCCCGGGGAACCCTCTGTGCAGACAGAACCACAGTGCAGGCCCTGGGCCAGAGGGGCGGGTGCCTGCAGGGCCGGCCCAAGGAGCCCTTCCTGCGCTGGCTGCGTATTTTTCCCAGAGGTCAGGGACTGGTGTCCCCTGATGTGGACAACCCCGTGCTGTGCTTTATCGGCTGTGCTGTGCTCTGGGGCCCAATTGTTCTTCAGCTATTTGCATGTGCTGTGCTAGTTTCAGAAGAAATCACTGAACCAGTGTGCCTTCCTCTGCTCCGTCCTGTCCCGGTGGGCTGGGAGCCTCAGAGACGTGAGACAGGGCTGCCCATGGGGTGCCCGACATCTGTCCTGCATACCTCTCCAACCCAAGGCTCCAAACCAGGCAGCCACAGGCCGCCAGGGGACTGTGGCCGAGGGGCAGAAGGCCGAGGGACCCATTTCCTGGACAGTGCAGGTGAGGAAGAGACCAGCAGGGGAAAGGACCCCAATGCCCCAGAGGCCACCGCAGCCCCCGTGCTGCCTGACCAGCTCCCCAGGAGGGCGTCAGAGGCAAGGCCAGCACTGTTTCCCAAGGGACAAAGCCCCGCTTGTGCCACGGCCACCCGGGAGTGCTGGCTGCCAGTGCCAGCTTGGAGGGACGTCCGGAGCGTTATCGGACATCGTTTCAGTGCCTGCGGCAGCCAGGTGCACCAAAACACAGAAGAATGCGGGCACCCTGCCAGGGTCAAGGCCGTCAGCAGGCAGAGTGGAGCACTGCTGGGACCTCAGCTCTTCCCTCCCCAGGTGTCCGCACCTGCGGTGGGAGAGGCAGGGGATGTCCCCGGACCCCCGGGAAGCACCCACGGTGATATCTCTCCAGCCCACAGGGGGGGGGGGGCGTCTTTCAACCCAACACATTTCCCAGTGGTTTAGAATCATTAACGAGAACCTCATACAAAGGCAATTTAGAACTTGGCCGTCGGTCACCTGGAGGCCGTGAGCTGAGATTCTGGGCAGGGCCGTGCGGTGTCGGAACATCGCAGAGAACAGATGTGCCGCATCCGCACACTTCATTTGCCAAGTGTGTAAAAATTTCATGACTGCTTGCAAAGTGGTTGGTCCAGGAAAAATGTTATGTATGATGTATAAAAGGAGGGTCCTGAGGACACTGCACTGGACAAAAACGAGCTGGACACAGAGGGACAGACGCTGCGTGACCGCCTCCCAGGAGGGCCTGGAGCCGCCAGATCCATGGACAGGGGAGTGGGTGGGGGCGCTGGGCTGGGGGCAG